AGTACTTTAAAGTGTATAAATAAGTTACCCGGGCAATTGATCTACATCAGCCAATCAGACGAACTTCCTCCTATGAGATCCGATTGGCTGATTATTACGTAATCTGCCCGGCTTTAAGGGACCCCTCTTTTTGGTAAAAGATCTTCAATTGGAAAATTCTTTTTTAATTCTATGGTACGAAATTTGTACCTGTTATCATTTGGCACACAACCGCCTTTTAAAGCCTCAGAGGTCCCCACGGATTCATCATTTGGCACACAACCGCCTTTTAAAGTCTTAGAGATCCCCACGGATTCCTAGACTTTAACTTTTGCAAGAAAATTTTAAAGGTTTTTTTTAAAACTGATTGTTATTTTTAGATAATAAAAACCGCTTTTTTTTAGTATAGTGCAGATCATTTCTATATCGCGTAAAATACCTGACTGTATAAGTGATTTATTTTTAGATTTTCTGGATTTTCATATATTGGGAAATCAAGCTTAATTATTGTATGTCCAGTAGGATTATCATTAATTGTAAAAGACGCCAATTTACAATCCACAATTGGCAATCAATTATAATCACTTAAATACTTATAGCCGGAAGCTTAGTCAAATAAGTCTAATCTCCATTGTCAGTTATGGTTCATTTAATAGCTAAAGAAGGGTTAATTATAAAGGATGTGTGTGAACATATCGATACAGTATCTTCTATTTTTGAGCTTTTATTTTGTAAACCTTTGGGTAACGTCATTGAGACCAAATTATAACATATTAGTGTTATAATGCATAGTGCTGCATCTCCATGGACATCCAAAACATTTTTTGATATTATATAAATAAAAATATCGTAAAAATGCCAATAACCATAAACGAGATTGCAAGAAACAATGGGTAAATAATATTTCCGTGTGGATTTTAATTAATAATTATTAATGCTTAGATTATTAATGTACAAAGTGTCGGAGTTGGAATAATTGTGTAAAATCGTGAATATAAAATACACTTATTCATCATCTTTTGTTTTATTTCTCTAAATATCATTGATATATCCATGGATAAAGAGACAGAAAACCATGTCGTGGATATGAACGATGCAACTGGTGCTAACAAACCTGTTAATCCATGGAAACTTATGAGATCGTTAGAGAGGTATCAGATAATGACCTTTATCGCGGCGTTTCTTGGATGGACTTTAGATGCCTTCGACTTCTTTGTCGTCTCGTTTGCTTTACCATAGTGCGTCAATTTTATCTTTCGCATTTCATATTTTGCACGAAAATTTTGCTTATTATTATTGCCACAGTATTGCTGATGAATTTAAAATGAAACCATCTGATATTGCTACGAGGTAATTTTAATCATATTGACAATTAATAAATATTACTAATATTGGTCAATTAAGCTTAAGATATCGATTAGAAATGAATTATCAAAGTGAAATAGAATTATTTTTATGATTTAGTTATTAACCGTTCGCGTTTCAATTTCGATAAAGTATTACGGTAACATTATTACTACGTCCTGTTGGTGCGTTAATCTTTGGCCTACTGGCTGATAAATATGGCAGAAAGTATCCATTAATGGCCGATATCATCTTGTATAGCGTGGTGGAATTAGTTTCCGGGTTTGCTCCAAATTTCCAAGTTTTCGTAGCATTAAGAGCTATCTTTGGAATTGCGATGGGTGGTGAGTGGGGCTTAGGTGCAGCTTTAGCGATGGAAGCTTTACCACCTGAATCTCGTGGGTAAGCAATTTTAACCGTGATCTCATCTTTGTTAAATTATATTTATTCATATTGTCAATTTTATTTTTGTTAGTTTGTTCTCCGGAATTTTACAACAAGGTTATCCAACTGGTTACTTACTCGCTGCAATATTTTATTATGCTGTAATCAAGACTCTTGGTTGGCGTGCAATGTTCTGGATTGGTTCTTTTCCCGCTCTTGTTGTCGTTTTCATGCGTTTTTTTGTTCCTGAATCCAAAGCATGGGAAAAACAACGCGAGGCTCGTATGTCAACCAATCATAATACATTCAATGAAATGAAAACGGTCATTATTTAATTTTATTAACTATTTAGTACAACATATATTTACATTACAATATCACTAATAGCGATAGATGTATTTTTATTTAGATGTTTAAAAATTATTGGTTGAAAACAGTTCATACTATCTTGTTAATGGCATGTTATAGTTTCACTAGCCATGGTAAGACCATTCATAATTACATTTAACTTTCCGTAAATTTGCATTAATTAATGTTACTTTTCATCAATAGGCTCTCAGGATCTTTTCCCCACGTATCTTACAAAACAACTCTCATATTCTCCCGGTACTATGCGCTCAGTATAATATGAGACTTCTTTCTTTGAATAATGTTTGAATGAATATCACTAAAATTAGTATATTTCATTGTTTTAGGGGATGTCACTGTGACGACTGTTATAGCTAATATTGGTGCTATTATAGGCGGTACATTATGTGGATACTTGTCCCAATATTTTGGCCGTAAGAAAACGGTTGTTGTAGCGATGATAATAGCTGGTGCATTTTTGCCTATAATAGCTATTCCTGTTAATAAACAACTTGTGACTTTTGGAGCGTTTGTTATTTATTTTTTCGTTCAGGTAAATAATTTGATTTTATAAAGCTTAAATATAAAAAAAAAATCTAAGCCCAATTCGTCTATTAGGGTGCATTTGGTGTTGTACCTGCTTATTTGAATGAGCTATCTCCACCAGCTTTTCGTGGGACATTCCCAGGTCTGACTTATCAATTGGGTAACTTGATAGCTGCTTCATCAGCTCAAATTGAAGCGGTACTGGGTGAAGCGTTTCCTAAAGATGGTGTAGCCGATTACGGACTGACTATAGCAGTTTTTTCTGCATGCGCTATGTTTGGTGTAATTGTATTTATTTCCACTGGAAGTGAAAATAGAAATGTGGATTTCATGAATCAAGCAGACACTAGATCTGAAGAAAACGAAGAAGTAGTGATTGAAACTAAAAATGCTCAGTGACGTTCACACTTTGTGACGAATTTTGTATGCTTAGCAATGTAAATTGTACATATAGGTTATTTATAGTTTAAAGTTTTAATAAATTAGTAATATTTTTTCCAGTTAAAGAATACAAGCATTTTTTATTTTAAAATATGCGCACAGGTTTCTGAACAAGATTCGATTTATCTCTTAAATAAATTTGCCTACGATTTTAAAAACTATTTAAATTTTTTTAAATAAAACAAATAAAACACATTTATAATTTAAAATTTTTTGTTTTATATAATATATTGAAGTATATTTTATTAAGAAAATTTCTTAATTTACACTGGTGTATATACACGGGTATTTATCCGTAGTTTGCAGATTGTGTAACATGCAAATTTTACGAACGAAAAATTAAATTCTTGCTTATGGTTAGGGTAAGGGTTGGTTTGGGATTGGGGCGAGGTATAGTTTATACCAAAATTTCGCAAGGGAATTTTTTTTTATTAGAAGCCAAAAGGTGATTTCATAATCAAAATGTTGAGATATCGGTTCTATATTGCCCGTGTACATAATATGTATACAGTATATATATTCACCTATGGTGTTTTACACCTATGTATACATTATCTCAAAAACTGGCTAATTAATTGATATGAGGTGTTCTAAGTAAAAATGTTTTACACCTTCAAAAACCTTTCCCAAACCCTAATTCTAACCTTAATATTAACTTTAATGTGAAAAAATTGGTGTTAAAAATTTTATATACAAAACTTATAAAAATTTAGAAAATTTTAAAAAATATAATAAAAATATATAATAGGTGCAAAACCACCATAGGTATATTTTATGATAATTATATATCAATTGTATATACTGTATAAGCACGAAATAACACCCAGGGGCATTAATTTGAAAATCAGATACCCCTAAAATAGTATATGTAGCTTCAAATTAACATCCATGGGCATTCCGAATTAACACGCATCCCTATAAATAAATAAATAAGGAAAAAGTGTTTCAGAACTATTTGATATTAAGTAAATCTAATTTTGTTCTTCAGGTAAAGATGATTATAATAGTAGTAAAATCATCAAAAACGATCCAGTAGTTTACCCGCAATGACTCTTTAAAGTTTTGCAATATTTGTTTACATAATCTGTAAACAAGGTAAACAAACATTGCAAAACTTTGAAAAAACATTGCAAAAACATTGCAGACGAACTACTAGACTATTTTTGATGATTTTACCACCATTAGAATCATCTCAACCTGAAGATCAACTTTTGCTAAAACCAAAAATAGGTTTACTTAATATAAATCTAGCTCTGGAGCACCTTTATTTTCTTATTATAAATAAATGCTATTTATCATGGTAAGGGATACGAATTTGATTCTTGTTTCAAAATAACATATATGCGCGTACTCAAAATAATACGCAGGTCAATTAATTAATGCACAAGTAGATGTTATTTCATGCTTAGATGATATTGACAAAATTATTTCAAAATTTAAATCTAAAATTAAAATTTGAAAATAAAATTATTTTTGTATTATTTTATTTATAAAATGATATTTTGATATTTTTTTGAATAAACAAAATTATAAAAAGTGAATTGTTATTTTACTATAGTTTTTTATTATTTTTACTATAAATTACACAAAAAAATATAAAAAAATTATTTTTAACAACTAATTAAATTTAAAAAATTAATTTTTTTTAAAATTAAAGAAATTTTTATTAAGTTAGAATTTATTGAGCTTCTAAATAAAGTTGTAGAAAAGATTTTTCTGGTTTTAATAGTAGTTAAATTATCAAAATTAGCATGGTAGATTCCAAGATAATTAGAGTTAAAGATACAAATATAAAGAAAATTAATTTTTTTAAAATTAGAAAAAAATTTATTAAGTTAGAGTTTGTTGGGTTTTTAAATAAAGTTGTAAAGAAGATTTTCTGGTTCTAATATTAGTTAGATTATCAAAATTGGTCTAATAGATTCTAGATATATCTATTTACCTCTTGCCAAATTTAGAGAATATCTAAAGCAAAGACAAATCATATGATCATTCACTAATCAAATTATAGAATTTAATGATTACTAGTAAAGCAAAACAAAAAATAAAAATCAAAACCTGACAATACAAAAAATAGCAATTTAAACCTACCTCAAGTAGATTAATAAAAAATGTTAAGAAGACAATTTTGTTTATATATAATTACCTAAAACTTATCTATACTCTAATATAGAATAACCCTAACTCTAAAGTTAATCAAGAATATTATTAAGAAATATGAATATTTTTGCTTTAGATATCTTTTAAATTTGAAATTATACTTTTATTCAATTAGCATCTATTA